ATAGGTTTGATCCCTACTTGGGTCATGAGTGCGCACTTCTGACGAGTTTCATATCAAGACGAAACAGCTGTCCAGTGCTACCAGATTTTCAGTGGTCTTACAAATAACATTAGACGGTGATGAATATCAGATTGAAATTAGTAAATCTCTAGAAACCTTTAAACGGAACTTGGTGATTGTTGGCCTAGACGTGCATTTTATTAGGTTTGAGATAAATTTTCCAATACTAAGTTCTAATGTACAAATCATCTTCAAGAATATAATTTATAGTTTCTATGCTTTACTTGATGTTGTTGGATTGCTCCCTTTTTTTTTCAATTCACAAAACCTGAAGGGTAAGTTTTCGCGTCTGATTACTTTTGTATGTGTATGTTCACCTTTTTAATGAAGGACCAGATCGTTGATAATCATCCTTTTTAAACTAATCGTAGAACAGTACCTGGTTCGACTGCTTTCAAACCTCTAAGCATATATTTCATTCATGATTATAAAATTTGGTTATATTGACTGAGGTCAAGAATGATACCTGATCTTTAATTTTATTGTAGGTGCTGAATTTCAGGAGTCTCTATTTTTAGATTGTAAGCTTCTATACGTATGCTGTTTACCTTAGTTAGCTTAATTATTGTTCATTAGGACGCATGTAGTCATAATTGTTATATCATGAGTTCAAAAAACCACTTTGCTTTTATAATTTGAGCATTTTTGCAGTGTTATCTCCCACCAAAACAATACGTTCAAACTCTCTTACTACAGACGCCTATGGATGGTTATTTAGTTAATTTATAACTTTATGGTCTAGAAAAGAAACTCACTCAGCAACCTTGTGCATTTTCACGTAGTAGTAGTAGTAGGCAATAAACCGCATCTATTGTGTGAAGATAAATGATATACTATTCGGGATGCCCAGACCTCGGTTGTTGGAATAGAGTTCGAACCCATAACCCACTAGTTGAAAGTTATCTGTATAAACCACTAAGCCACAACTTCACGTTTTGATCTAGAATGTTGACTTGCAACCACTTACTATGTAGCCATGTGTTCCAATATAAATTTTCGTAGATTGGTTTGGGCAATGAGTTAGCATAGTCATTGAATGGATATAGTTTTCAGTGTATATCGAAGTTGATGTATATGCAAACGTGATGATTCATTTAGCTTCTATTACTAACTGTCTCAATTTACGTGCTTTTTTTCTTTCTAGTCTATGAATTCTTATAGTCATAATTTATTGATTTGATTAGTTGATGCGTTTCACACTTTTATTTGCAGACCTCTTCATTAGTTATACAGTTCATTTTTGTTGTACACTTCTTCCCGATGTGTTTCTCTTCGCTCACTTTATTACTGTCGAATTTTTTCATGTTTATATACCCTTTTAAAATTTTAAAATGTACCTACCTCCCAGTGATAGATGGTGTTGCTACTGTTTCGTACCGAGGGTCGATCGCTTCAGATGCCAGAGCATTATCCACTGGGCCACTTTGTCACCATAATGATCGGTCGTTGGTTCAAGTTCTGGTGAGAACAACGTCACTATGGGGGCAGACACGTTCAGCTGATGAGTTAGGAATAGGATGAAACACACATCTAGATTTCAATCCTAGTCACTACCCATCACTACTACCAAAGTGTAATTACAGGTAATATCAATGCATCCATACTGGAACCCATATCCTCATAAAAGCCTATCATTTTAGTTCAATCAACGATGGGAATTTAGAAACATTTACATAAAAATTCTACTAGGTTTATGAAAATAAATAAGTCTTAATATAATTGCGAGAGATGAGATTCATCATTTCGGAGTAGTGACTTTAAAGGCCATCCTGGCAACCACTGAAATGACCAATTCGTTTTCTGTATTTCGGCTGGAAAGGAGAAATCTGAATGATTAATTTAGCTGTTACTTGGATAGCCTTTAAATTCACTATAAAGTCTCCCTTAAAGTCACTCGAATAGTCTTCTATATGCCTGCCGTATCTTGTTTGCCTAATTCACCTCCACGATGAGTCACATAGTTTGCCCAACAGAACTTCAAGTCTTATGCTTATGTTGTCTGTATTTGTTTAGTCGATCTGACTGTCCTGTCCACAACTCACCATCGTTTAATAAAATGTGAAACACTCAATTTTATGCACACAAAAAATGGAGATAATCCTAAGATGATTGATTTCACCCAACAGGTTATTATTTCCGAGCTATAAGTCATACAGAAATGGATGAGTGAGGTCAGTCGAAAGCTGACCCGAGCCATACAATAATGTTACCAATCAAGTCATAAGTTTGATATCTTTTAACATGAATAAAGTAATATGACTGCTAGTATACTCATCTGAGATTCACCTTTTCCTTTTGGTTGGCATAACTGTGCTGTGTATATACTCCATAACTTCAGCGTTCGTTTAATAGTTCGTTTATCTGTTTCAGTGTCCCTTACAAAAGCAATTATTAAGTAGTTTCTAGAATGGAATTTCAGACTTATCCAACTCAGGAAACCTTGATCTACAAAATTACCTCGACTATCATATGTTGTTTAGAGCTGAACTGATGGACGCAGCTGTCCATTTGTTTTATAGGAACGAAACGATAAAATGGGTAGAGATGTGTACATTTTTAAACTTTGTGGAGATAATAAAAGTCACTTATATTAGTGAAACGATCTATGTCAGGAGGTTGTATATCTATCGTTCACTTTTTTAAAAAAATCTATATTTCACAGTACACTTTCCTCCTGCTTTCAATCAGTATTACGTCTGTGCCTTCCTTTCCAGTTTTTCTTTTTTGGAGTTATTTATTCATTTATGTCTGATACTCTATAGTTGAATGGTTGAACATCGTAGAACCTCGCACACAAGTGCATTGGTTCAAGTAGCCACACTTTACAGTAGTATATAGAGAACAGGTGGATAGAATAAGAATGATATCAAAGTAGACAAAGTTGTATGAGAGAATAAACAATCTGAAGATAAAAGGTTAGTGCAAATATTCAAGCTTTAAAAGATGTCAAAAGAGGGAATGCCTCTACACCACTGTAACCGATTTTCAGCCATGTCACCAAGAGTTTTTAATCACTGATTGCCATCATCTCGACGACCCCAGCAATGTAGTCTACACCTACGTACACGACTCAGACCAGCAGTCAGGGACTTCATATACTGTTGACATGACTTGGTTTGGCCACTATGAACCTTCTTTCAATGTAATCTGTCTTTTTTCAGCATGGGCAATACATGTCCGCTTGACTTTAACATTGTTCACATGGTGATCCCACCATAAGCAAGCAATGCTGCGAAAACACCTATGATCAAAACCATGTAACCGGTTAATGTCTTCTACTTTTAACGACTATGTCTCGCAACCGTATTATAAGACAGTGCAGTATACTCGTCCTTTGACAGATAGTTGGATATCTCACCAACCAACCCCACAGACATTGGTATTCGATCTGAGATTTCGTCAGCAACCAACCTAATTATACGTTGTTTTTATTATTTTGGCATGCACAGACCAGAGGCTTATGAATAACGTGACAGATTCTATATAGTCAGCAGAGCTTATTCATCGATCAATGTTCATTGTTCAATCCCCCTGAATTCAAATAAAACTTATTTCCTATTTTTGCTTAATGTCTAAGACAGGTATTTGTTAAACTATTGATAAAATTTCATCCTCTTCAAAGAAAATACATCTTTCCTGACTGATTTATAGTAGGTGATGAAGCATATATATATATATATATATATATATATATATATATATATATATATATATATATATATATATATATATAAGGAACGAGGGAGGAAGTTTCCATGAGTCACTTTCCTTTGCGTTCCACTTTTGTAAACGTTAGTAATTCTGCGGAATGGTGATAATTAGGTGTAATTACAACGACGAGACCAGTAAGGATTTTATACCACGGCTATACGTGTGTTGATTGAAAATCATTATCAGTGCTTTGTGATGATGACTAATGTTTGTTTATCTGCCGATTTTAGCCTAATGATTACTTATAAACTAAAAGATTAATATCTTTCATCCAATGCAGGGATATATCACTTAATGGGAGTAAAAAAAGTCATTGAAGTCAATTCTGTGTTGTTACTTACAGGTGTAATTGCTTTAAGGTTGTCTGTCTAAAGTTACTCACTGGAGAAATAGTTTATTTTGTGAAACTAATCTATGATATCTGATTCTTATTTTGCTTTTTAATTAGTGGTAGCGTTTATCATATACACTCTTGTTTAACACAAAGTGATGGATATCTAAGCATCTTAATGTTAAAGTTCACATAGTGGCTAGCAATGGAATCCAAGACGTGCGTTTCATCCTATTTGAGACTCGTCAGCTAGATGTAAGTACACCTCAGTGAGTGATATTGTTCCCACTGAGACTCTAAAATACTAGCCATCGCTTCAGATTTCAAAGTGTTGTCCATTACCCCACTGAGGCATGAAAGTGTTTGAACAATGGGTACTGGGAACAACATCACTCACCGGAGTGTAACACGCGTCCTGGATTCCACTGCTAGACACCAAAATGAATGCGGTGTAAAAGTAAACGACTGAGGTCAATTAGAACACTGAACAAAACTGAAATACTTGGGACTACTGCTTTGTCTAAACCAGATATAATGTAGATAATCGTCACCGACTTGCCTATGTCTTACAGTAATCAGTTTCACTATGGTGTCTGTTCATCTTTATAGTACCTAATGACGGTTTACATATCGAATAACTTTAAGTAGTACTTTCTGCAACTATTTCAATCGTTTCAACAATCATCCTAATAGGTCATGTGTTCGAAACCATTATACACACACGGTAACTGTTGGATAAGGACTGCTTGCAAACCTGGTCCAATAACTCGTAAAGAAGTTTCACATTGTTTGCAGTAACAATAATATAGATTTTGAAGTGTATAGCGTTTTTGTGCCGGTTTCACATTTTCTCTTCCCCCCCCCCCCATTGTCTAATTGTTATGTTTTGTATTTTTAGCTGAGATTACCTTACCTAAATTAGAAGGTAAATAAATATGTCCACATATGCTTGTACATATAACTAACTTCATATGATTGTTGAACTATTATGCTACTGTTGCGTACTTTCGTTTCATATATATAACTGTTTGCACATTTTCAATAATATTGCTTTAAGTATATGAAGTTATCGCTTGCATGCATGCATGGATTGATTACGGTAACCTCCGATATGATATCGGATAGAGCAACAGTGAACCACTTTTGAAGAGAGTGCAATGCACTGAGAGATGGTTTTTAAAAAATGTGATTGAGCTTCGATAAACATACTGTTTTAGTACTGTCCTCTCTTTCACTCATGCTTGCAATTTTGTATTGTTCTCATTTGTGTACAGTTATTACCCTCATAATGTGTATTGTATTTCATTATCATCTTTTGAATAATTCTGTCATTCACATCATCGTCTGTTTGTGGAAGTACTTTGAAATAAATATTTATGTAAGTGTGTACATCTGTGTATTAACTAATTTATCACCAAGCAAACTTTATACCAGTTATTCATCTTGAAATCTTGCTGGTTGTGGTGGTGGTGGTATAGTTCTTTTGGTTGTTGATATTTTTATACGTTCATATGTAGTTATTTGCTTGTTTGCCTTCTAGTTATCATCTTGTTTGCAGTGAAATTTATAGTTTCATAAAAATGAACGAAAAAGCTGAAAGGAACAAATTTGCAGAATAAAATTATATCATTTTATTTCACGAATACTCTTCAGCTGCTGCATACAGTCTAAAATTGTAAAATGCATTACTGTATAGTACTCATCTGTGATATGCTTCCACATGGAAACCATGAAGTTCTAATGAGAAGCTATGATCTGTGTGGCTCAACCAGTCGCAAAGGAAACGAATGCCAACTGAAGACGTTGGATGATAGTCGCACTGCTTCGTGAATTGACTGAAGTAGGAAAACTATGAACCGTTGAACTCTAACCCATCGACTGAATGTTTAAGGCGTCCGCCGTGAAACCTGAAGGTCCTCAGTTCGGTCCCTAGTAGGGTCAAGGGAGCATACTACTGAGGAGTCCTATACTAGGACAGAACAACTTTCCCAGGTTTTCAATGGTCCCCCAACTGATGTCAGTCCATGATGAATGCTACCTCTAAATTGAAAATCCCCATTTATCTAAAGAATGAAAGTGTAGTGGTTATTGGCATATAAGATATTTCTATATTAGGAAATCAATAATCTTGGATTTTACAACAAAATCATCGATAATAGATATGTTACAGAATTAATTGTACAGAGGGGTAAGAAAGGAAAAATAATCATAAATAAATGGATGAAGGATTCCTTAATTAAGGTGAAAGTGAGTCAGGATCAAATCACGGTCACCATGGAAGTGAGAGACTGATCACACTCTTTTTTATATGCAAGGGAGATGCAGTATCTAAGCAAATAGACGCTAGAATCAAAGGAGAACTAAGTAGGAAGTTTCCTGCAGTTTAATTTGTATCAGTATATATAAATTTTCAAACAAACAAATTGTATGAAGAATGCTATTATAGAAAGCAGTAATCCTAAAATTTTATGCTCGTTAGTATTTATCATCGTTAGGCGTAACTGATAAGTTGACTTCAAGTGTCCAAACCTGATTCATATTCAATCATTGCACTGTTGGATGATGCCAACTTGAAGCTTTCCCGATTGAATGAGTTTCTTATATGAAGTCATAAATACGCTTTACTTGGTGAATTACAACAAGAGTATAAACTTAATTATAGAGTGTTAAGTGATTGGTTTCGCATCAGATACTATACTGATTCTACTCAGTCTTATTTATCTCTCACCCGTAGATTAAAACCACTGTCGTCAAATCCCATCTTAATACGATGGCTTTAGATGAAGGTCACGCCATATATTGTGGTCCGACAGAAACAGCAGAATATGGACTATTAAATTCTAACCCAGTGGCCAGTTGATAACGTGCTGTTCATGAGACCTGAAATTCTTGACTTCGATCCCCCTGAGGAGTCTGATACTAGGAGGAGACACCTAGCTACGTAGTGCTCCTAGGGTTTTAATGGTTCTCCAACTCATATCAGTTCATGATGCATATCAAGTTTAAATCAACAAATCCCCACAGACTTCCAAAACTGGATTTAAGCATTATATTACTTTCTGAGTTTGTATTGCATTTTTCAAAACGATATTTTCGCCACTTGTTGGTTGTTGTTTTTCGTATTGTAACATGCTTAAAAATATAGGTCAAATACTCATTGTATTCTTTTTGGCTTAACATATTATCCAATGAAGTTAGGCCAGTAAAACGTGTTGGTCATACTTCCTATAAATTTGTTCAACCTAGTATTCTTGAAAGAGAACGTTTCATCGTGACTTTTCATATTTAAGTAAATATGCTGCATTCCCCTTGAGAATGAATATCATATACTTCTTCCTTAATTACCACTTGAAGTTAGGTGAACATTAAAGAGTATTCATCAGTCAGTGCATTATTTTGACAAAACATTAAGAGGACGTGATCTGCCTGTCAATGGGGCGAAAACAGTAGCTTGATATCCAATTGTTTTTGAATACACAAAGATAATACTGAGTGATAATGATTGAAGGTGAAATGAAAATCTGGACTGGGACAAGACTCGACCCAGCAACCTCCTTAAGGTCGCTTAAAATACCTAGTAGCTATGATATCGAAAAAATTGAGAATACGTTCTCAACTCTTTTTATGACTATATCTAAAGGATGTAGAAATATTGACCGTGTGGTCTGTCTCAATGAAATCCAATTGAAATTGAAAATTTATGAATTTAGGTGTTTTGATCCACTTTTGAATATTCTGTGATGCTATCGCTCGCATACATATACGAGTCGTCCCCTACGTGAATATGTCGAAGAACTCCTAAGACCACCCTCACAACTACTAAAGTAACCGGTTACACTCCTGTATTTTATAATAATAAATTCCTTTTTCAGTCGAAAAAAATGGTTATTTCAGTTTTTGCTGGAGTGAGATTTCAGGTCATCCATGTGCTTTAAGCGTGTTTACGAGAGTATACTGGCCTTTTAGTTTCTGTTAACCTGCGCCTAACTCTATAGTATTTCCTTCTGATACAGTGGTAGATAGTTTATACCTGAGGAATGTACTATAAAAGTCGGCGCTGAAGAAATCTTTCTTCGGAACAAGGCGAAAAGTAGGCTTCTGCAATCGAGTCACTGTACTGACTGATACAATTTCGATAGATACTTATTTTTAAGCGGTTTATTACTTGACGTTCTTATCTTGTCTTCCAAAGTATCTTTTGTGAATATTCGTTGGATTCTGTTGATAAGCACTTCAGAAGCGTTGCATCAAGCACGTTATTGTTTAAACATGCTATCAGAACCTGGTATTTTATAGTTTACAGTCTTCTTGGACTTGAACGTTTCTTATGCTTTTGATGTTATGCTTTAATGTCTCGAGTATGCCAAATAAGGTGTCTTTCTGTAGCTGTGTCCTCTCCTCAACATCCCTTTATAAATGATAAAAGCGAATCATATATCTCATGTTTGCTTAGTAAGTGCCCTTAAATTCATGTTTGTCCTTCTCTTGATAGTGAACTCAGATATTGCTAGCATTTCTCAGATGGTATGCTGTGAAATGGAGGTTTTATTTTTGCTTATTTGGTAGTTATTGTCATCGTTGTCACATCAATGAGTAGCATTCCTTTTCTGTAACAATGTTAGCGTCAGGGTGTGTGTGTGTGTGTGTGTGTGTGTGTGTGTGTGTGTGTGTGTGTGTGTGTGTGTGTGTGTTAGAGGAGGCGGCATTTTAACAAGCTAATCTTACACATTGATACTCATGTATATTTCCAGATTCTTTTTCTCACTTTAAACTACTTACATCGTAGTAAGTAGTAGATTGTATACCTGTAAAACAACAACTTCTTTGAATGAGTCAACTGGTCATAGTGGGAGTAATTAACGCAGTCTGCTTACTCAACTAAGGGATGAAACAGTGTGTTTTACTTTTAAGAATTAATTGCGGCGTAAATAGTTTATTCTGTGTGTTGCTTCTAATTATAACACAAAGCGACCAAGGAAGCGTATATTGTCTGCAATTTCACAACAGTGTGAAGAATGTATTATATCATATACTTTTGGCTAAATTAAAGAAAATTGATTATTTTCAAATTTATATGTTCTACTTCTTATTTAGTAGTTGATGAGTAATCCAATCTATTTTATGCATTGGATGACTAGTAAATTTCCTCCCCAAATTTGATCGATCAGAGAAGAATTAATTGGAAATATACAGCTGTAGGAAATCAATAGTCCAGTTTCCATTTAAATATAACACGTTAGTAATGAGACTGTTATGACTTTATGTATGGTGTTGTAATAGTCGCCAACTATGCTGAATTGATCCTTGTTCCAGCCACGACTAACTGAAGGTAGAACTATATATATACGAACTGATACGCTTAAAGTAGGCAGTTGAAAAACTACTTAGCTCGGAGACATGTCAAAATAGACTGCACAATTTGATAATCATTTACAAGTTGTTCATTCTGTTCTTAGATACACCGGTCCATGTAAGTCAACTGACCAGCTTTATATGATATGAAGAATTCAGCTCTGTTAGCTGAGATGGTCGTCCTGTATTTGACTAACTGACTGATTGACAAAATCAGTGTAAAACCTCACATACAGGTGCATCGACTTACGTTGTCACACTTCACAGTAGCATACAAAAAAAGGGAGTAGAAAGAGTGATATCAAAATCTAAAAAGTTCTGTGAGAGAATACACAATTTGGAGATAATATTCAAGCATTAGATGTCATGGAGTAAATATATCAGCGCCATTGTGACCGGTTTTCAGCAATGTCTCCAGGAGTCCTCAACCACTGATACCTATCGTCTTGGGCATGCCAGCCACGCAATCTTCATGTCCCCACAGGACTCTCCAATAGTAAATAGACTCCATCGACTAGTAACATGTCTGCTTCTGGTCGGTGTTTAGATAAATCTGATCTGACTGGCGAAATC